TAATGCATCCAAAATGGTTCTATTGAAGCGTTCCACTTGTCCGTTCGCTCGAGGTGTTGCCACCGCATTGAGTATATGTTTAATACCCGAGGTATTTATAAAAGTCTTGAATTTTCCACTTGTGAAGCAAGTTCCGCGATCAGTAATTAGTCGAGATGGGGTACCGAAAAGGCTAAAGTGTTCCTTAAGAACTCTGATTGCTGTGGTACTTTTAGTGTCCCTCACTGGTCGAATATTTATGAATTTAGTAAACGAATCAATGACCGCCAAAACGTACGTATTGCCTCTCCTGGAACGAACGAAAGGGCCCAAGTGGTCAGCATGTAATGTGTGGAAAGGTACTTCAAGTTTAGGGATTGGGTGCAACATCCCTTCCTTACGACCACCGGGTGTTTTATGATGAGCACATTCAATACACGCGGACACATATTTTTTTGTGAAACGACGCATTTTAGGGAACCATAATACATTTCGTAAGCGATTGAGAGTTTTATCAAACCCAAAATGACCCACATCATCATGGTTCATCTTTAAGACCTGCCATCTCATTGCGCGCGGCACCACCCATCGTATATCATTTTCTAAAATTTTATAGACGTAGCCCCCCTTTAGTAAATAGTTTTTACAAATGTCAACTACTCGTTTAGTTCCTGGATCCTGCAAAATTTCTCGAATTCTTTTTATTTCGTCGTCATTCCCTTGCACCGTAGAGATCCAGTCTTTTAATTCAATATTTAGGACATCTAACGCTTGACAATCTTCGTCACCGGGTAGTGGATCAGCTACAGGAGCACGACTGAGTGCATCTACATGAGCCATACGACTTCCCGCACGGTACTCAATTTCGCAATCATACTCCTGTAATTGTATCCACCAGCGAGAAATTCGGGGTATCAGGTCTCGTTTAGTTAAAGTAGTTCGCAAAGCGTTACAATCGGTTATTATTTTAAATTTAATACCTAATAAATAAACCCTAAATCGTTTTAGCGAGGCAATAACTGCCAAGGTTTCCAACTCGAACGAGTGCAACTTTTGTTCGTCGCCCGTTGTTTTTCGACTATAGTAGGCAACTGGCCTACGTGACCCATCTACCTGCTTCTGCATAAGTATACCTGCAACGCCTGATTTACAAGCGTCAGTATGGAGTTCAGTCTCTAGTGTGACATCGTAGAGGGCTAAAAGAGGTCGCTCAACAAGCTTTTGTTTAAGCAATTCAAAGGCATGTTTGTGACTGCTCTCCCATTTCCATTCAAAATTAGACCTTAACAAATCCGTCAATGGTCGCGCAATGAGTGCGAAATCTTTCACAAAATGCCTGAAAAAACTAGCTAGACCTATGAATCGTCTTATATCGTGTACATTTTGAGGTTCAGGAAAATTCGATATAGCAGCAGTCTTAAGCTTCCCCGGTTTGATTCCACTGCCATTTACCTCAAAACCAAGGAAATCTATCTCTTTGTAAAAGAAATAGCATTTGCTCATCTTTAAAGTCAAACCTGCTTCTAACAAAAGTTTTAAAACCTGTTCTAATCTAGTCATTCCCTCTCGAAACGACTTTGCGGGTATCAATATGTCATCCATGAATATTAGCGCGAAATCGACTTTAGATTTAGGTAGAATTTTATTGATTGCCCGTTGAAAGACTGAGGGCGCATTAGCCAGTCCAAAGGGCATACGCCTGAACTGATACTGGCCATCTGGTGTTACAAACGCGGTCTTGTCTTGTGATTCTTCCGCTATTGGAATTTGGTAATACCCTGATGCGCAATCGAGTGTTATAAAGAGGGAATGCCCGGCTAACCTATCCAGTTGGTCATCAATCAATGGCAAGGGATAACGTTCTCTTTTTGTCTTGTTGTTAAGAGCCCTGTAGTCTACACACAGCCTTTTCTCACCTGTCTTTTTCTTAACCAGTAAAATTGGACTGGCGTACGGTGATTTTGATTCACAAATTATACCCGACTCAATCATCTCCTGTACCATCGATCGCACTAAATCTCGTTCCGAGTACGAAAGCCTATACGGACGATATACAACAGGTCGACTGTCCTCTAGTTCAATTACCATTTCTACGATGTTCGTAAAGCCCAGGTCCTTTAAACCGCTGGAGAAACAACCTTGGTATTGTTTTAGAAGGCATCTTAATTGTTCGAACTCCCCAGCTGTCAAGGACTGGTCACAATTAATCAGTGTAGCTGATTCATAATTCTCAACATTTAAAGCATTTATACTCATAACATGTTCTACCGGCCGAATTCGAGTCAAAAGTGTACCCTTTTCCAGGTATATTAATTCTTTAGACACATTTTGTATTAATAAAGAACCTTGTCCCTTAGAGATCTGATATTCACCAGGTAATAAATAAAATTCATGATTCGGTTCACCCCGTAATGAGCCATGGACGTAGATAGGACCCGAGTATGTATTAGTACACGTCACTTGCGCTATACACATTTTCAAAGGATTCAACTTAATGTCATCACTTAACATTAATCCAACTTTCCTTACAGTGTCTTTTTCGAAAATGAGGCCCTCGCTAGTTTTTGTTATAATTATATTAGGCTTCTCAGTAAAACTATGACCTATCAACACCGCATACTTAATAACCTCATCACTAACTATAAATACTTCAACTTGCTCCTCAATGTGTTGTATTTCGATATTAACCGTCGTTACCCCCAAGGGTACCACTATACTATTCCCAATACCTCTCATAACCGGTAAACGATCATGCGTTTCCCATGAAATTCCTAACCGTTGTGCGTCACTGCACCGCATCAGGGTGCATTGACTACCAAGGTCTACGAATCCGGTCAGACAATTTCCATTAATTTTTAACATTACCATATACCTACAATCGTTTAAAAGACCCGTTTCAACGCGCATAACATTCTTTTCACTTGCCTTGTCCACTCTATTACTATTATCGGAGGGTAGTCTTAAACAATTTATAGCTGTATGTCCTAATCGATTACAGATGGTACATTTTAGTATTTTCTTGGTACACTTGAAACTGAAATGACCCGGTTCATTACAGTTATAACATACCGCAGAGTTGCTTGGCTGTCTCTTCTTATTGTCATTGTTAGTGAATTTATGCGCGTTGCTACCATTACCCACGAACGTGCGTTTGTCAGCATACATCTTAGTCTTTTCCAAATCCCGTGACTGTTGTTTACTAGACTGGAAATACTCCAGTACCTGCTCGGGTTCCAGATACTTTGAAGCTTTAGCCCCCAGTCTCAATGATCTATCTTCGATACCGTGAAGCAAGCAGTCGACTGCTCGCTTGCCTACTATCTCACATCTATTTAGTAAATTAATTTTTTCATAATAATATAGTTCTAGTGATTCGTTATATTTCACATGTTTAGATAGCATTTCTGTCAACAATTCCGCATAATCATTGGTGCTGGGAAAAGACTCCGTAAGTTTATTTTTCCATTCGGGCCACGTGAATGACATGGTTGGTAAAGCCTGATACCAGGTCTTCGCTACACCTGACAATTTTGGTAGCGCGTAATGTATCACTTGGTCATCACCCCATTTATACAATCTAGAACACTCTTCCACCTTACTGAGCCAAGTGTGTATAGTCTGCCCCTTGACCATTGGGTCAAACTCTGGTATAACATTACCAAGCATAGGAAATTTATTGCCTTCAGGACGACTATTCACTATTGACTTAACTAACTCGGATAATAGCACTGAAGTATCATTATTACTCGTAGAATGACATACCTGACGGTGCCGTGAAGATCGCCTAGAGCTATACTCCTCGCTAGAAGTATGACTGTACCTTCGGCTGTTACCCTGTATGCCTCGTGGAGTGCGGTCACGTCGACGTCGGCTTCGGCTCTTACGTTTCTCGAGACGACGGCTTTTCCGACGAACCCGAAGGTGACTGCTACGATACCGATGCGTGGATGCATTCCGAGTGTCTCTAGGACGACTGCTTCTACGTCTCCGCGGGCGGCATCTTGACTCACTTCTCCGTCCCGAAGAACAGCTGCTTCGGTCCATACGTTCATGTTTGCTTCGTCGTTCACGTAAGCCACTGCTACGACGCTCACGGGAACGATACCTGCGTCTCTTAGAAGAGCTTGTCCGATTATCATTACTACTAACGCTCTTTTTCGAAGAATGTCCGTGACGAGTACGTTGCCTCTTACAATGTTTATCCACTCTCAACATACGTTCTTTGCTGCGACATGTCCTTTTCGACCGAGATTCGGTGTTCGTCACCTTGTCGCGAACAGGTGGCGTGACAATTTCTTCCATTCGTAATATTAATCGTATTTCTTTTGAAGAAATAAAATAACAGGTGATCACACAGTGGGTAGAAAAAAAAAAAAATATTACCATGAATTTCCACAAAATATTTAGTGAGCCTAGTTTATCCCACTTCTGAGCTGAAGGATCAAGGCTTTCAACTCAGAAAAACTACAGGATTACTTGAATATTCACTGATTTATTTTACAATATTACTTCTCTCCGTCAAACGCTACCGTATAATGCCCCGTTCCCGAGGTGCCAACCACTGCCCGACCATTTCACAATGTTGCTACCCTACCAAAATATATGTATCGATATTTATTAATATCGATGCGGATATTAATCAATATCGATAAGGTTCATTAGAATAACTAACTTGTACTAAATAAAAATAAGTTATAACTAATATATAATCACATGAATGAGTTATAATTATTATATCTACTATCATGACGCTTACAATTGGATGCGGTCCAGAGGGACAAGCTGATACTGAGGTGTTCCTGCATGGAGATGAAAATGTTGATAAGTTAGCTAAAGATGGCTTCCAGTGTCGCAAGTTAGACACAACCTAAAATTTACTGTTTTCTGAGTTATAGGTATGATATTTAAGTACTTAAAAAAACGCTGGTAGTAAATATTAAAAAAAAGGCGTTTATTTACATAAATAACAAATGTATAAAATCCTTAAATTAGATATCAACAACAAAATTGTAATAATTCATCTAAAAGTAATAAGGACTGGGTAATCTTGGAGTGAGGAACGGTGCAGGAGCGGGGGCAAAGACTGGCGCTCTTGCAAGGATAGGTGCAGGGGCGACTACTGGCGCGGGGGCTAGAACTTTAGCAGGGGCTGGAAAGACTAACGGTTCGCGGCGTACGACCGCGTTAAAGCCATTCAGAGAGTCAGCAGTATAATCCACGATTCTGCGCGTGCCGTCTGGATCAACGACTGAGTAGGAGCCAGTGACGAGGTCTCCGTTCCTGTGTTCCTGGTGGCCTTTGTAGTCGCCTGTAAGTGCGTCTTGTACATCGTAGCCGTACGAGTACTGAGGTAGTGGATCGACGCGCGCTAGTGGAAGTCCTGGTGCGATGATACTCGCACTCGCCGCGCACGCCAGGCAGATGAATACTACAATCTGTAACAAGTACATGTTTATTAAAGATGTACTGTTCTACTTACGTTTATATTTCAGGAATGTATTAATTGTATTACGAGTAGTTATTGCTAGTTTCAAGTGTTTTTTTACAATTAGAAATAATTTTAGTTTCTAATTAATCTGTAGTATTGTTATATATATATAAATATATATTAGCCGAAAATCGATGGAAGTGGCGTGCAATGGGAGATGATGATGCGATAGGCTGATGATGATGATTCTAATATATAGATACTACTACTAACCTAATCTAACCTAATAAAGCTAACTAAGCTAATCTAATGAAGAAAAGAAAAACGTTTTTTTGTCAGCCTATAAAAAAATCATTTATTGTACATAAATATGAGTTATAAATGAATTATATGTTAAAAAAAATTAAAATCTATCATAGTAGTTTTTTTATCTCGTCATGTTTTCATGTTCATAGTTATTTTCATATAACATTGACATGCACATATTAGAAACTAATAAATTCATATTCTATTTGACTCATATCATAAATTAAATCTAATATTACATAATAATATAAAAAATTGTGCAACATAATGTATTATAGTATTGTCCACAAACGACGGCTAGCCTTGCGACACGCTTTGGACCCTTTCTTCGTAACCACACGCGAACGGAATATCAACGTCCTTTATAAATGTACAGGGCGTGCTACTTGTGGTCAATAGAATATTAATTGACGTTTCATTGTACAAGTTTAACCTATTGCTTGGTAATATTTTTGCAATGTTATTGCAGAGAACGTCTATCGTAAACAGTTTAATTGTAGAACCTCACCCCCTAGAAGTTACGATTCTTCTCTTAATACTGTTTAAAAATATATGATATGTGGGCCTAGTGATTAGTGATACTGAATGCTGAAGCAGAGGTCGTGGGTCTGATTCCCACCGAGGACAAATAACAAATACAATATATATATAATGCATGAGTATGTTTTCCAACATTCTAATTATCATCGTACGGACTCTGCGGAGTTTGGGGTCAAGCGATGGTCTGGAGATGTGACAAAAAAGGTGTCTTGTTTTGTAAGATGAACGTACTTTTTTGTCGGACTCCAATTCAAGCACAAAGTAACCATGTTTATTTTCTTTGTATGAATTATGATGATTGTAATCAAGATTTAAATGCAGTTGTGTTCATGGATTACAAAAATATTGTGAAATTGAAAAGTTCAATTAATAGTTTATTTATCTAAATACTCCAATATCTTACAATCTTGTGCATTACTCGTATTACTTGTAGCTACAATATCAATAGACGAATCTATCGTTGTTATTCGTCTAATGAACGTAAATTTAATAAAATTGAAATGAGTTTATATTTAACTACTCGATTAGCATTTGCCGCGTACTTAAATATTATTTCATTTTTGTGTTTCAAATTACGTGAAATAAGTTATGTGTCAATTTTCGCTCTAGTGTGATGATTATATTTTTGGTACCTAACTGGGTATATATCGAGCCAGGGTTTTAACCGTTTTGTATGTCTTGTTTTAGTTCATTTACCACTATAACTTGAACTCTTATTATTTCGACTTTTGTGCCAATACAGATCACAATATATAGTAGGCGTATTTAAACTCTATGGCACAAATTGTTTAAAAATTATAGCTTTCTATACTTTTTCTACAAATCAACTTTATATATTACATATACTACTACTTAAAACATTTTTACCTATGCGCGGTTACTTAATATCGCATCGCATCGCATCGCATCGACAGCCTTTACTAGTCCACTGCTGGACATAGGCCTCTCCTTAGAAAGGAGGTTTTGGCCTACTACACCACGCTGGCCAGACGGGTTGGTATAGGGTTTGTGTCAGTTACTTAATATATGTAAACAAAAATTTTCTCCTCGCGTATGTATATAGATATGGTATATGATATGATATGGATATGGATAAACTGCACGCGTTGAAGTCTTTTGTAGTAATTCATAGTGGTGGAGAAGATGTATTATTGTGTTCTGAAAATATGTAATTATGAAATTGTAACTCTAATAAGAAAATTTATAGATCACTTGAATGCAATTATTATTACTATTTTAAATATAGTATAGTTAATTTACTTGAACAGGTACCGACTAAAATAATGTTTTATAATAAAATTCACAAACTAACAGAAGATCACACTTAGACTATTAACATACTATACAGTTTTTTTAGGTTATTGACTTACAGCTTTGATGACCGTAGTTACCAATATTATAAGTTGTATACAGTATGTTTGTTGACCTACTTACACACATTTTAAAAAATAATTACAATACCTACATATTTATTATAAACAAATTAATGAAAATAAAAATATTGTAGCTGAATCATATTCATTGTTATGTACGGGAGCAGGTTGAAACGAAAGTGTAATGTATACAGAAGGTATGTCGCAAAAGGTCCCAATATGGATCACGTTGGTCAATCGATAGGTGCGTGTTTACATACATATAAATGATAATCGAAAATCGACGAAGTTTAGTTAATGGTTTGAAAAGATACTGAGGCTTCTAATTTCAAGTATTACTGGGGTCAAAGGTATTTACTTACACGTAAAAGGAACATTTAAAAAAAAAATAAGCTAAGGTTGAAACGAAAGTGTAATGTATATAGAAGGTATGTCGCAAAAAATTCCAATATGGATCGCGTTGGTCAATCGATAGGCGCGTGTGTACATACATTTACATGATAATCGATATCGACGAAGCTTAGTCAAAGGTTTGAAAAGATACTGAGGCTTCTAATTTCAAGTATTACTGGGGTCAACGGTATTTACTTACACGGAAAAATCTTTAACATGTTCCATGTTAAAGATTTTTTTAAGCTACAATCATATTGGTAATACTTCATCTCCGTGACACAGGAATAAAATAGAGTGATAATTATCTTGTAATTCGTCGTTTTTTATAATAAAATCGACTACCCGATGGAAAGCCATCAATCGTAAATAGAAATCTGACAACCCTAAATAAAAGAAGACTAAACACTACTTGTCTAGTAGTCACCCTATATATGTAATCTATACCAATAAATAAAATTGAAGTGTCTATTTGTAATATCAAAATAATAGGTTTTTTTCATGCTCACACTTTTATTTTCACTATATCTATGCCTAAAAACCTCTACCTCTATCTTCCTTTTAGAAAAACCCTATAAATGATGATGAATGAATGATGATGATGAAATTTTGTCCGGACCGGGATTCGAACCCGAGGCAGTCGCGTACTATACTACACCACTAAAGCAGCGCTTCTCAAATTCCAACCGACCGCAGACTGATCAACGCAGAGGCTACTTGAAATTTTTCCAGCTGGCGTTTTTTGTATCTTAAGTACCCACTAAGAAAGACTAAGAAATATTTTTTGGAAATGCGCATGAAATTTCACAATTTTCAAAGTTAAAAACTCGATAAGAAACATTTACATGAGTATATTAAAGCTATTTTTTCAAGCAACAAAACACACTACAATGACATGATTGAACTCATTTAACATACACTTATACACATAGCACATTGAAGTTTGTGTTCGGAACCAAAATTGTATATAACTGTTTGATTTGATTTGAAATTATTGATTTAAAATGAAGAAATTAAATTTTGTATGAAATTCACAATAATTACGAAATTTAATTAATTAATTAATATAAAATTGATATCTTACCTTGGAGTCCATGTCTTTATGCTTAGGGTAGGATGGTCACAGTCCTCAAAGTGGAATGTGAGGTCCCGTCGGGCGTATCGCGTTTTATATCGTCCAAATTCGTAACAGAAGACGTGAGTTCCATACGTACTTACTTATTGAAGAAAGTGCTACGAATTACGCGGCACAATGGCTCATGCAATACATGTTACGTTTCACGAAATGTATTAATCCAATAGTATGTCATTGATTCGTGATACAAAATATGTCGAACGCTTCCGTGTCAATGATTGAACGAAATTGTCATCATTGTCATCTGTGAACAGCTGTTTGTGATTTGATTAGAATTAATACGGTAAACCCTCGGCTGTGCGTAGACGCAGCCTTTACTGTCACATGAAATTTTCACTCGCATTCCAACCCTAGTCTATCGAGTTTTATAGAATGTTCTATTCTAAGAGAATATAATGTAATTTTTTCCATTTTTAAGTACAGGTTGATGTCTTGCTGGCCAATGATCTAATAGCTACCACTACTTGCACACACAAATATCGTATCTAGTCTCAGCGGGTTTTACATACTGCTCAATTATTTGTACCTACTTAAAACTAACCGACTGAAGATTTTTCAGCAATTTTGTGACCAATTTTTAACAATTTTCCTGTTTTTACTACAGCACGGATAGACTGACGTTAGTGGTAAGCGGTTAGCTAGTCACTTCCTACTGAGCTGAGTGTTATGACTTCGATTCTCATATGGATCAACACTTTGTGTGATCCACAAATTGTCTTTCCCAGACTCAGAACAACAATTTAGTTTTTATGTCCGTTTTATGTGTGTAATGTCCCCCGCTACATAGGATACATTCCTAGTGCGCGAGGTATCTTTTTAAATACAAAAAAAAGTAAAAAAAAAAGTGATTTGACAAAAGTCTGTAAGGATTTTGTTAGTAAAGGAATATATGTTCTACAGCCTTCCCGGTCCCCCACAACTCTATCGACCATATATTGATTTGATATTGTACAACTCAGTCTATTTCACAATCGCTTTAAAGGAGCAGAAGTGCTTAAAATGGGAGTAAACTGGGCCTCAATTCCGCAATGTTATGCTAACGCCAAGCCTGTCATTCCATTGATACGCTATTGAGACGCCATTGACATCGGTTAAAATATCAGTATTCTACTAATATAAATTTACAGTGTTAATAGACTGTCGATATAGTAATATAGGTCATCAATGGTGATATCAACAACATTGCAACAACCTGGAAAATTTAAATAAATAATTTTCTTACCGTTCTTACCGAGTCCGTGTGGTGACGGAAGTCCGTGTGGTGACGGATTAAGAATACAAATTGTCACCACCCCAATTCATCAAGTGAGTGTCGTAAGAGCCGACTAAGGGAGCAAGCTACCCAACTAGCAAAGAGATCGTATAAGCAATTACTCTCACGACTATGGATCGAAAAATACTCGTATGAAAGATCCTATTATTTCAAAAAGCCGTTTAAAAGCAGCTGTCTAGATATTTTAGCCTTCAAAGCTTTTTTTCTCTATAAACATGTCTAGTAAACGTGTACTCGACGAATTCATATCGCATTTACTCGATAATTATATAAAGATATCTCTCGATCACCTTCATACAACCGTAAGTCCTATGACAGCTCTTTGAAAGCAACTGAATTTCTAATTTGTCGTAAAACTAGCTTTTATAGCACTATCTTTCGACATGTATTTGTTACAGCATAATTATAGAGTAAATGCGGCTTATTCGACAAAATACGAGTAGCATCTCAGTTACTATACCGGCACTTAATGTCATATAATAGCTTTTTACAAGGCTTTCATTCCGCTTAATTTTTGAAGTTGAGAAAACGCTTTAAAATTATCTATAACAGCCCCAAAGGTGCTCTAAACATCGTTTGAAAGCCGCCTTAGCATAATTGTGGTATGAAAGTTGAATAAAATCTTTTACAGCACTGTAAACGCCATTTTGTTACAACAACAACCGTATTGCTTTATTTTGTGAAAATGGATTCTAATCGGTGGAATAAAATTAAAAGAAGCGGAGGGTTCCGACGGAAAGTAAACAAGATTTATACACGATTGAAACAATCAACATCAAGAGCGATCAAATAATACAAGTGCGGGTTCTGTAGGAAATATTTACACATCTACTGATTATGAAATTTGTGAACCGTCAGCTGAAGTGTGTTCTAATTTCGAAAATATCTCCGCTGATCAAGACTCTGATTCTGATAGTAGTGATAATGACAATTATAATTCAGAGTCCTAGGACAGTGAAAATTTAAATGATGAGTTTCGTTTTAATTTTAAAGAGTGGGCGCTCCAATTCAACATTTCTCATGATGCCTTAAGAAAATTGTCAACAATTTTTAATAAAAGGGTTCCTAATTTACTGCCAAGAGATCCTCGGTCTATTTTGAATACGAATACATCAAAGATTAATGTATTAACTGTTGGCTCTGGATTTTACTGGCATAACGGATTAACAGAACCTTTGCAAAAATGTTTAGAAATTATTGATTGCAATTCTGATGTTTTGACTCTGCTTGTAAACATTGACGGCCTGCCAGTATATAAAAGCTCAAAACTTAAATTATGGCCAATATTGTGTAAGATACTAGAAATACCGACACTGTCGCCACTAGTTGTCGGAATATATACAGGTCAAGAAAAACCATCGGACTTAGATAAATATTTAGAACAGTTTGTGAGTCAAATAAAAGATCTTGAAAATGGTATCAGAATTAAAACAAAAATTAGGACTGAAATAATTATTTAAATCATCAAAACAGCCCTCAAAGTGCATATAACTCGATTGATTGTCTATTTCATGAAAAAGTCATTCAATCGAGTTGTATGCACTGTGAGGGTTGTATGAAAATGAATTTCGCGAGCTACCGTGAAGGTTCCCCCTTATCTAATGGTGGTAAACCATTTAAATTGCCACTAAAATATTTTCAAAAGTCACTCATTTAACCCGGCGTCTGCTAGGTTGGGTCATAATGACCCGTGATGATTTTAAATGCGGGTATTTAAGAAAATAATAGTGTAACGTTATCACGCTTCTCAGTAGCTGCAGTTAGTGCCCCGCCTCCCTCGTTTCTTATGTCAACTTAGACGGTATGCGCCTGCACAGGAAGATAGACGTGGTCAAACAACAAAAAGGTAAATATGACCCAACTATACATTCGATGATACCATTTCGTGCCAATTACGTTGACTTCATTATTTGATTATTTCGTTAATTTATTTGTACCGACATTACGTATATTACATTATATTTTGTTATTTTAAGGTTATATTTGAATAATGGATAAAGAGGAACGCGAAAGGCAGCGAATTCTGTCAATATTAGAAGAAAGCGACTCGGAAGAAGGTGAAAATTCTTCGGAATGCGAGGAAGATTATCACGTTAGCGAGCGTTCTCAACAGAGTGATACCGAGCAAGAGGCATCAGAAAATGATGATGATGATGTACCTTTGAGTGTCATCCAACGTCAAGTGTATTCCTCCGTACGAAGATCTAATCAGCACAATTCATCGGATGCAGAAACATGGAATCATGAGGTATTTCAACTTATTCTGGTAAAGATGGTACAATATGGCGCAAAAAACCTTTTAGACAAAATGTTCGCATCCGATCAGAAAATATTATTACTTTTACGCCAGGAGTTAAGTCTGGAGCTGGACCTGAAAAGGAGTGCTGGAACATTTTTTTCGATAGTGAAATGTTAGACGCTATTCTCAGATATACAAATTCACGAATCAGAGTCAAGATAATGTCTTGCTCTTATAAATGATCACTTGAGCGCTCGCAAGGAGATGCGCAAAAGAATAAGAGAGTTTACAGGAGAAACATCAGAGGAGCCCCCTGCTAAAGTTCGTGGTGTTCGTAAACGATGCCAGATATGCCCCGCTAAAAAAGACAGGAAAACTACCCATACCTGTCAAAGATGCAACAAATTCATCTGCCCTGAACATATAATTTCCTTCTGTGGCGGTTGCGTAGATGACGAGGCTAATAGTGATTAACCCTAAGATTCTTTAAAAATTTTACATATACTGTCTTAAAGATCTCATATTTGTCATTCCAAAAAGTTAAAAATAAGTGTTATTTAGTCTTTTTTTTATTTTTTATTAAAAAGTTTCTAGAAGTAGATTTTTTTTTTTGTATATTTTTTACCGACTTCTTAAATACATAAAAAGATCTTTATACAACTTATTTTTTTTATTTTGTCTCCAAAATATTATAACTTAAGAACTATTCTTCAAGTTAAACACAAATTTGCTCTAAATGTCATTGAAATGGTAAAAATCAGCTACGGTTTAAAATCTGGGTAATTATGACCCATCATGCAGTTGTTGTACCTATTTTCTACCATGCTGACGCCGGGTTAATAAAAATCACTAAGTAAAATATTTTGTTTATGTTTAATTTTCTTTTAAATTCCTCTGGAGTATTAATAACAGTATTAATTTGATCTGATATTAAGGATTTAACATGTTGCGCTAAGGAACCCCAAAATAACTGCAGTTATGGCGGTCCTAGAAGTCGTAAAGTTGAAACCTCATTTCTATTTCTCAGCTAAAAACCGAGTGAATGCTTTGTGATGATAAGTGAATTGCTATTAATGGCGAATTAGATTAAACTATTAAATTAATATTCTTTGTAATTCATTATTTACTAAGAAATCTTACGGCCCATGAAAATATTAACTAAAATGTAAGGAATATAGACGAAAAATTTAACCCCGCATATGAAAGTAACACCTTTGAGCTAACTTTAGGCACGGTACAATTATAATACAGTAGTGTAACTCGGCCGCATGATAGAAATAAATGCCTACAGCCGCGCGGTACGTAAACATGCGTTAGGGCTGCCCGTCTCCAGCATTTTAATTATATTTGCCTACTTTCTGTTTCTATTTAGATTTGTGATTGGTAAATATCCTTTTTATATAAATAAATGAAATACTTTGTATATTGAATAGGAAGTGTTCAATAAAA